TCGACGACAATCCGACGGCAACTTTGGTGAACCCGACGGCTACGCGAAGGAGCGATTTTCTTGGAGCAAGAATCTGACTGCAACCTTGATGATTTTAGGGAGTATTTCGCCACCAACGCCTTTGTATTGACAGTAGGTTATATAGCACAATGCTCCGGGTCACCCTGGTGATTAGAGGGCTGCGCTGGTGGCGGCGGATTAATGAAATCGACTATAATCTTAGTTGATTAATGAAATTGAGTACTAAAAATCGTAGTTTATTAATATGTCGTTTATTGTGGTTTAAGATAATCAATAAATATGAATAGATTATACAAAAAATAACATAGTAAATACTAAAATACCCTTGTCATTAATTATTTTTTAATTAACTAATTAAGAGCGATAAGGGGCAAAATTGATAAAAATGCGATTAATGCCTTATTGAAACTCTAAAATGGCAAATAATTTGGGACAAAAAAAAACACAAAAAAAAGACATATAATAATGGACTGGGACCGAGGAAGTATGAATATTCAACTGTATTATTTTGTCCTTAAACTTCAAGCAAGGCGAAATAAATAATTTTGTAGTTTATTAAACCAAATGTTAGGGGTGTGCACGGGTCGGTTCGGTTCGGTTTTAGCCAAAAACCGAACCGAACCGAATATATAGGATTTTGTAAAATTAAAAACCGTGTATGTCGGTTTTTTATCGGTTCGGTTTCTTTCGGTTTCGGTTCGGTTTAGGTTTTTTCGGTTCGGTTTCGGTTATTTTTCGGTTCAAGTGTCAATATATATTCAAGTTGTTGTACAAACAAAAAAATACAATTACAATTACTTTCACAACTTACTAATGCAATGAAAATATAAAATCTTTAATTTCATAGGACTTATGTAATTTAGATGATGTATTATGCTTCATTTTTTTTCCTACTTTCATCTACCACATTATTAAAACCATGAACTCAAGTAAATTTTTACTTACTAAATAAATAAAATACAATGTCTCAATTTATGAAAAAATACTTAGAATGAGATAAGTAATTGAAAGATAGAAAATAAATATTAGGTAAAATAATACATATATTATATAAAATGAAGTCATTTTATAGTTTCGGTTCGGTTCGGTTATTTACCTTCCCACCATACCGAACCGAATAATTCGGTATTTCAAAAATAAAAAACCGTACATGCGGTTTGCTATTCGGTACGGTTTAAAACGGCTCGGTTTTTCGGTTTTTCGGTTCGGTTTTTCGGTTTTTCGGTTTTTTTGCTCACCCCTACCAAATGTTAGGCGAAATGATAGCTCGGGTAGAGTTTACTGAGTAATCATATGGTTCAATAGTCAATATATCAGCTGTTCAACCACTGATTTTTATGAAAACCTAATATTCTTCTGTTTGATCAAATTCCAACTAAATAAAATTATTGTCATGCATCAAAATTCTAATTTCAAAACAAACTATATGTAACACATAAAATAATATGTCCGAAGAATAATACGAAAATTGAAATATTTAATCAACTTTATTTGATTTGGGATTATTTAGTAACGGACAAACTAGACGTGCCACCACTTTTGAAGTGAACTAGTCGGTTCTCAACTCTGATAACAGTGTATTATATTTTGAAGGTTTATGAGATGCTATACCTGATGTAATGTACATAGATGCAGTAGCGGAGCCATCCTTTGTTAAGGGTGGGCTCCAGCTCACTATGAAATCTTTATAATTTGTATTATTATAGAGCTTATAATATACTCCATCCATGCCAAAATATGAGTCGATTTGGGTTGTTGTGCACAAATTAAGAAAACTAATAAATGTGCGTCGATTTTAGAGAAAAAAATATATACAATAACTAAAATATCCATATTATTAATGTCGTTTCCATTAATTCTTTCTCAATTAATGAATCGTAATAAGGGCAAAATTGACAAAATTGTAATTAGTGCATCATTAAAATTCTATAATGACATGATTTGAAACAAGAAAAATTCCCCAAAGCCACAGTTAATTTAGAACGGAAGGAATAACTTATTGTATATTTATTGTATGTTTAGCCCATCAAAATAATCTAAATTAACCACCCACCAAAAACCCAAAATATATTTCTTAAAATTAATGTTATTTTGTATAGTCAAACAATTACTTTGAGACATTTCAAGAGAAAATCACCCAGTTTATTTGAATGATTCGGGAAAAAAAATTGGGGTCGTTGTCCCCGAACCCCCATAAATTTTAAGCCCACCCTGATCGGAATTTCTAGTTATGTGTAGATTAATGGTTCAAGATCACCCGGTGTATTTCATTAGGTGTAACATTCATATAATTAAATTCTGAATGAGTCAAAATATTCAAAAGGTCGCGGCTATTAGCAATACTAGTTCCATTAAGTGCAAGACCAAAATGAAAAATAAAAAATTTAATGTACAAATACTCTAATAACCCTACTAAAAAAAAACCATGTATGATAATTCTTCAGTAAGTATCAGGGTGGAGAAGCTAAGATAGTGTCAGGTCAATGTTTCTATAATAAAAAATAACGCATTATGCATGACAAACTCAACTTAACAAGAGTTAACAAAATATCGACTCAATCGAAATCTGGTCATCTGAATATGTGATGTGTTACTCCACCAAATAAGCTATTTGTTTTGCCCCAAAATGGTCTAGATGATGACGTGTCCTCCTTGGAAGATATTTTGGATGACAGCTTGCCGCAGATTGCGCCGGAGGGGTAACTGCAACGCCAGGAAGGGTTTTCCGGCGTAGAAGCTCCAACGATCAAGTCAGTTTTTATTCAGAGATAATCGATTGTGATATGTAAGAAGGAGCACGTCATCATCTCGACCATCTTGGGGCAAAACACTACTTTATAGCCATTTAAAAGTAACATCCAAAAAAGAAAAATAAAAAATAGCCGACATGCCATACATGATTAAACTATAGTGAATCTCTTAGTCATCCAATCTCAATACAGACGTGGTATAAATTAATTCCTGAGGAAATTAATTAATTAATTAATATGAGGGATTAAATTTATGAATATTTGTGTGACACAAATTAAAATGTAAATGATCGACATCCCTCGAGGCCAATGAACCTCTGAATTTTGTGTGACAGAAAATTGTCAAGTTAGGGTAAGGTAATGTATGTGTATGGAGAAGGTTTCGTATCGTGGTATTATATACCATTGAAAATGATGGGTCAATTAATTAACGTCACAATTCACAACCACAACTTTGTCCATTTTATAACATTGATTATTCTATTATTTTATCTTTTTATTTTTTATGCATATTTTGTCTAATCTAATCTTGTTATTTTTACTTTTTATGCATATTTTGTCTAATCTAATCTTGAGGGAAGATAGAGATTTTGTAGATGTTACCTGTGGTGAAATACATCAGGTGATCTTGAATATGACTTTTTGCCTCCTAATTTATAGGTAATATAGATACGAAGACATTTTCGGTTATCTCTTGATATTATTTGAAATTTATAAATCAAATTTATTGCATCTTTGACTCTTTATAAACCCCATATTTAGGTTAGGAGTATAATGAAACATAAAACTATGTTATGGATTGTAAGGTATTTAGAGGGTGTTAGACTAAGTTTATATGATGTTAAAAAGAGTTTATAAGTTATTTCAAAATATTTGGTATTTTTTTTTTGAAAAACGTCTTAAAATTCAAAAAATAAGCATTTAGAAAACAAATAAGATTTTTTTTTCAAAAAGTAATCTACTTCACATTTTTGCTTATGATCTTATAATGAATAAAAATACTTTATAATAAGTAATTATCTAAATACTTTAAAAATTAATTCTAAAAATAAGACGAACAAACTTAGCCAAACAGACCCATAAACTTGAACAAAAGTTCACCAATGATGTTGCCTTTGTAACTACGTACTTAATTTGATTACCAATTACTCAGTTAATTTTTTATTTGACCCTATAGGTAATTGGAGACAAACAAATATCGCAATTAATAATTTATATTTTGGATCTTAATCAACGTAGAAAAAATATTATTATTTCATTGCTATTTTTAATGCTGCATTTCGTCAAATGTCTTTTTATGACCGACACACTCCAATAAAAGTCAATAGTTTCCGGTTTCTAAAAAGAAAAGAGGAATCTTCTATAATTCGAAATTTTATACATATCACTCAATTCAATTAAGCTGCATTTATTTTTAAATAAAAATTATGGTAATTTACGGCCACTCTTAAGGTAAAATTAAATTACGAAAAAAACTCATAATGTTCTCGGTTATGAATCTTCTTACACAACCACCCATTATATTATTAAATTCAATATAATTTTCTAGATTTCATGGAATATTCTCTAGTTTGTATTCGGTTTGCAAAAAAAAAAAGTTCCTGATGCACCGCAACGCTATATTTATCTGTCAAAACACGCATTTTATGATCATCTTGTTTCAAAATGTGGAGCTCGAATTACATAAAAATGGTACAAATTGGAGAATATTCCTCATTATCTAGAAAATTCCACTAAATCCGATAACGTAAGACTGACGGGGATAAAAAAAAATTTATAGTTAAAAGTAGATTGTAATTATTCAAAACAATTTTTTTTTATTTTATAATTTAATATTTTCTTAGGGGTGATAGTAATTTAAACCTGAAAATTGAACTAAATCTAGTGTTACCATATCTTAACACGTGTCTTTCGGGTAGGCAGGGGTTCTGCAACAGTCTCTGTAATTTGTGGGTTCTTATCCACAATAAATAATAAATGTAACTAATTATTTATTATTATCCTTTTTATAGGTATTTATATCCACAATAAAACCGCCACGAATTACATTTTCCTTTTATCCGTGCTCAGATTACATCTCAACAATATGACAAAAATGAAGGAACAAAAAATAATAATACAAAAAAATAAAAAACATTTGGATAAAGCAAAATCTTTGGACCCCACCTTCTTCTCTTTATATTTTCCTTTTAGACGCGGCCTCGATACTCTTCTTCTTCATTCTCTCTCACTCTACATTTTCTCTCTCCTCTCTCCTCTTTCTCTCTCTTCTTTCTTCAACGGCCAATCTCAAGAAACAAAAAAGAAAAAAATATTATTTTTTTCTTTTTTTTATCTCCTGGTTTGGATTCAATTTCTTTCTCGATTCAGGACTGGAGCGAAATAGGGGTTTTGATTTCGATTTAATTTTTCCAGAACAACAAAAAAAAAAAAACATTTATTAGGTTGAATTAAAAAAAAAAAAAAAAAAAAAAAAGATTGCCTGAATCTTGAAGACATGTCTCAATCTCTGAAGGCTGGATTCTCTGTTTCTGGTTCGTGTAATATAATTATGAACCGTAGGGGCGAAGGTTCTTTTAGGGTTTGTTCTTCATTTGGCTCTCTTCAATTTAAGGAATCCCCCAAATCGAGACATTTCTTCGGCAAAACCCTTGATTTTTCAGATCAGAATTCGCCCAAATTGGGCCCTGTCCATGTGAGTAAATCTGTTATCTTTTTTTTTTTTTTTTACCATTTTTGCCCTTCAGAAATTATCATTTTTTTTTTTAATTTAATTTATGTTTTTTAATTAATTATAGGCACAAGGGTTAGTAAGCTTTGTAAAAACACAGAAATGGTGGGAGAAATCACTGCATCCAAACATGGTGGAAATCAATTCAGCACAAGAATTGGTTGATTCTTTATTGAACGCCGGTGATAGATTGGTCATCGTTGACTTTTATTCCCCTGGTTGTGGTGGCTGCAAATCCTTGCACCCTAAGGTAAATTTTGTTAATTGTGTTGCTGTAATAAATTTGATGAGGGATTTTCAGACAGGGATTAATAATAATTTCATCCCATGTTTAAAAAAAAAAAAAAAAACAGATCTGCCAGCTGGCTGAATCAAACCCTAGTGCACTATTCCTAAAGGTGAATTATGAAGAACACAAGGCAATGTGTTATGCCCTACATGTGCATGTATTGCCCTTCTTCAGATTCTATAGAGGTTCTCAGGGCAAAGCTTGTAGCTTCAGCTGCACTAATGCAACCGTAAGCATCATTCCTTATAAATCATTTAAAAATCGAGTCTTTATCGATTCTTCGCGGTGTAAATGTATTTACGGGTTTTGGGTTTTTTTTTAATTATATGCAGATAAAGAAATTTAGGGATGCATTGGCTAAACACGGGACGGAAAGATGTAGTCTTGGACCGGCGAAGGGTTTGGACGAATCGGAGCTTTTGGCATTGGCTTCGATCGGTCAGATATCGACGGATTTGGTACCGAATACGTCGGGAGAAGAGAGAGTTCATAAAGAATTTGTCTTTGCGGAAAGTAGTACTGCGAAATCGAGTAATGTATCGAGCAAAGTTGAGAGGAAGATGGGTAATGCTATGGTGACTGCTTAGAGTTGAGATTGAAACTGAAACAATCTCAAGAAGGGATGAATATTATTTTCTCTGTTGTGTTTTTTTTTTCCTTTTTTATTTAAAAGAAAATTAAATGGAGATTTATGTAAATATATTGGTATCTGTGTGGATGTAGTTATGGAAGCAGGGCTATGGGTTTTTTTAGATATGAGCCCTGTTTAGTTAATTTTTAATGGTTTTCATTGTTGGAATTTATTTGTGTTTTGCATAATTTCTTTTGTATTTATCAAGATATATATATATAGATCAATGCAATGATTTGCAGATTTAGCACCATGTTACTCTCTCTCTCTCTCTCTCTCATACATGTTCGTTTTAGACTTAATTACGCAATAAATTTCGTTTGGGAGAGATTTGAAACCTCTCTACTTTTCTTACTATGTACCCCCTTCATTCCAGGAAAATTACACTTTTCACCCCTCAAGTTTGTATCAATTTCACATTTGGTTTCCATGTTGAAAAAAATTACATTTAGTCTCTCATGTTCAATAATTTAACATTTTTTGTCATTTCGGTCATTTTACTACTGGGCAAACGCTTGATTACGTTAGTAATAATGAAAAATTGACGAAAATGACTAAAAATATTGATTTTTGAAACATAAGAGACCAAATGTGTTTTTTGTAAACATGGGGGACCAAATGTGAAATTTGTACAAATTTGAGGGGATGAAAAATGTTTTTTTCCAGAAATTGTATGTTGTTCTTTTTGTTGCGCACATATGAAAATTAATAAATGTGCATGGATTATACTTTAGAAAATTACTAAAATATTCTTATAAGTATTTGCTTTCAGTTAATTAATTAAGAACAATAAAAATAAAAATTAATAATAATGTAATTAATGCTTCATTAAAATTATAAAATTACAAATAATTTGAAAAATAATATTAGCCCGAGAAAGTACTACATAATGATTGTCATCATTAAATTCAAGTAACTTTACTTTATTTTTAAATTATTCATAAATGTGTTTCTCCCAACAATTTTAAAGATGGTGATTTGACGCTTACAATGAAAATTACTATTCTTAAAAGTATAAACAAAACATTAGTTGAAATATTCTAAATTTGCATAAATCATTTTTTTTAAATTGAAATAATGCGTTTTTGTTCTTTTTCTTATACTTTATGTTGGAAGCTTTTGAGATGGGGTCTATGGTTTTACAAAAAGATCAAGCAAGTTGTTGAGCTCAATTTGAATTTCCCCTGCCACGTCATTTTTTTCTGAAAATAAAATACTTTTGAAAAAGCGAAATTAAGAGAACCACGGAGTGAGACGTGGCAATATAATAGCTCATTATTTATGTTCCACGAATTATTGGATAAGTGGTTGTACAAAGTAAAATACAAAAAAATAATAATAAATTAAAAATAGATACATACAGATGGCCTTTTGAGATGTTGTTTTCATATTCAAAGACTTTAGCTGGAAAAATAATGCCACAAATAAATAATAAATAAAATATCGTAAAAGAAGCATTTTAAAGTGAAGTTGTCGGTTCGTAGAGGCCAAATATTCAATTGAATTTTTTTTTTTGATAATTCAAATATTGAATTGAAACGAAACAAATAAAGAGCTGGTTTCTTTGAGAATTATTCCTATATATATCTCTTTCGATATGAAAGATGCTTATGTTTGTATTTTATAAATATTTTAAAAAACAAATACTATTTATTTTAATTCCTCATCTCCCGGTTTTCTAAGTAAACTTCTAACATCTTTATTATATATAAACGAATGAGAGCAACCTAAAAAATTCTAGTGACATATTTATGTAGTTTTTTTTTTTTTCTTTTCATTTTCTATTTTTCGGTCTCTTCTTTGCTCCAAAAGGCGAAATTTCTCGCCTACAGGGTCCTCATCCCTTGGCCCGACAAGTATTTGATGGAGGAATGTAAATCATGGTGACTCAACGGTCCGTTAGGATAGTGGACCCCGACCTGGTGCCCACAAGGAACCAACCCTCATTGTAGTTGAAATTCCCAGACTACGGCTGCGAGATTCGATCATAGGTATTTGCTTCAACTTACCACTTCGAAACCAGTTGAGCTATACTCGTGGAGTTTTTTCATGGGGTTTTTTCAGTCTTTTCTTACTATCATGGAAAATGGGTAGCAAATCGGTTAGCAACTTAATCCATCATATAGTATTTTGGTTTTTCTTTTGTTGTAATTTTTTTTGTAAATCTCTCTCTTTTACACACACTAATGTATAATTTGTTTATTTTAATTATCAGAAGAGTAAGACAAATCTTTCTAGCATACATACCAAAGTGCCTAATTTAACATTTTTTTAATATTATTTTGGTATTTTTTTAAATTTCACAACTAGTTATTTTAATATTGTGTAATTTATGCTTTTAATACAATTAAGTTATTATATATTTAATTTTTTCTTCCTTACCCACTGCATCGCACGGGAAGAATTGCTAGTAATTTGAATAATTCAGTCGGTTTTTAACCCTAAAAGTATTAATTGAAAGACGAAAATTGCTTTATTCATTCAACAAATTCGTGTTATACATACTACATATTAAGACATCGCTTGATTAAATGTATCATATTACTTTGAATTATATTGAGGTGGGTAAGTTTGAATAACTAATCAATTAGTAAAATGTTGTGGTTCCTTCATTCATTGTATTAGATCTAGAATGCATGAAAAAATTAGGGTCGACGAAGACAAAGCTAATGATCAGAATGTGCAGAAAAGAGTAAGCATAAGAACTCACGTTTCAATTTATGTTTGAAAGTTTTTTTTTTTTTTTTAATTATATACAAGGAACATATAAAAAAAATTAATAATAAAAATTGAATCTTTTTTGTCCTTTTATTAAATATAAATAATATATAGAAATGAAAACAATTATTATGACTATTCAAATCACGAAAAGAAAAATGAAAATTGTAGGTTCAAGTCCCACGAGATGAAAAAAAATATTTTCTCGGATAAAAATTGCCTCCAACATTAAAATTTATATGTACTTTTATTGAATATAATAATTTGTCTTCATGTGAGAAAACAAAATCAAAAAATTTGGGCAAACCAAGAGTTCCTTTGTCAAGTCATTGCCTAATGTTGTCCTGATTTGCGTCATTAGTATATTAAATCAAATGAAGTGGCCTAATCAAAGAGAATCATTTATATCTCTCTCTATATATATATGCGCAA